GTCTTCTCCACTCGAGCCAACTTGTTCTCACTAACCTATTGGGTGTTAGCTCCACTCGTAGAAGGCGTCTTGCGCTTTCCAGGATGATCATTGTAATCATTAAGGCACTCAGCAGCAGCTATCGTTACTGTAAAATCTTGAACCTTCTGTCTCTGTAACTCGAGTCTAGCCCACAGCTTGAGTCCTTCAAGGAAATGAAACAACTTATCCCTTTCCAACATATCCTTTATATCCAACATCAAAGTTGAGAACTCTCTCACATACTCCCGTATAGTCCCTGTATGGGACAACTCCCTTAACTTCTTACGAGCGTTGTAATCTACATTCTCGGGGAGGAAGGAGGTCTTCAACTCATTCTTCAACGCATCCCAAGTCGTAATGGAGCACACCCCATCTTTAAACTTGGATCGCCACCATAACTTAGCGTCACCACCTATATACATCGAAGCCATCGTCACCTTAACTTCATCAGAATCCGTGCGCATAGCCCAAAAATACTGCTCTATGTCAACCAAGAAATTCTCAAGCTCTTTAGCATCCCTCGCTCCATCAAAGCGTTGAAGATTGTGGATATTGGCTCGTACGCCCACTCTTTCAATAGGGTTTTTGGTCAAACTAGCTACAGTTGCCTGAAGCACACTGACTTGAGCCTTCAGCTCATCATACCCAAGTTGTATAACACCTATGGCATCTCTTGCCTCATTGCCCAAATCAGTCACTATCTTGAGCAAATCCTCTTGGGTCTCCTCAACTCTCCTCATACGATCACCAGAGATCATATGAGCTCTAAGGGCTGCTAGTGCGGCTTCGATCTATTCTAGCTTTCGTCGATTAACTGAACCAGTCTCCTGTACAACCGGCTCGATAGCTTCTTGCTCTACACCTCTATGAGAGCTTGTCGATCCTCCATTTCGTGTGCGAACCATTCTTGGTACAATCGGCTCAGTAGCTTCCTGTTCTATACCTCTGTGAGAGCTTGTTGCTCCACCATTTCGTGTGCGGACCATTCTCTATAACTCACTGGCGCCTCTATGCCTGCAACACAAATAAGCACAATAGTGCCCAAATTAGGAAGGAAAAGAGCACCGCTGTGCTTGAATTAACGATTGAGCACCTTTGTGCTTCAACCGAGAGCTGACACCTCTGTGTAACTAAAAGTGATTGAGCACCTATGTGCTTCAATCGAGAACTGATACCTCTGTGCAGTTAAAAAATACTGAGAACCTCTATGCTTCAGCCAGGAGCTGACACCTCTGTGTAGCTAAGACTAATTGAGCACCTATGTGCTTCAATCGAGAACTGACACCTCTGTGCAGTTAAAAAAGACTGAGCACCTCTGTGCTTAAGTCTAAAATCTGGCACCTCTGTGCATTAGAATGATTGAGTACCTCTGTACTATAATCTAACTCAAACACCTCCATGCTTTTACAACCGACCGAGCACCTCTGTGCTGCGATCTACAGCCACGCACCTCTGTGCTAGGTTTAGCATTTGTGCACCACTGTGCAACAAGCACTATCATGCTTGACTCAACAAAATGAGCACCTCTGTGCTTCTAGTAAACGAACACGCACCTCTGTGCTCTGATACCAAGTGTCACAGACTTAGCCTAGTTGGTTCGGTTGATAATCCGTGCGGCACTCGAAAGGGACGCTTCCCAACCAAGTCAGCCTTTATCTTGTATAGTTGATCAAACAGAAACAAACATCACGTTAGATCTTTGTAGCCATATGGTCATTCGACCAATAATCTGAGCCCGTGGGGCATAGCGGATGCACCTCTCAACCCCCGGACTTCTCCAAGAGAAATATGTTTTATTAATAAAAAGAAACATCGGGTTACAGAAGACTCACCCACATCATCGATTAGGCCATAGGGGCGGCCCTCGATGGTGTTCACAAGACACATACCTTTACCTGTGGATCAACCCATACTCTGCCGGCTGTCCACCCCCTACATATATGCGAAAACAAAATAACATAAATACTACCTATAGACGTTGAGATGCTCGAACAAGGGATAACAAGTCATACCCCCACTCCTTACCTAAAATATTGAAATGCTTGGAAAGAGGACAAGTTTATTGTACCCTGCCACTAGGCCCTATACAGGGTTGACCTTAGCGTGCCTACCCGGTTGTGGGCCCATAAAAGTGGTCACGACAATAGCACCCCCTAGTTTTCCTTAATTCCTTGTGCAAATAACAGAGGAACAGAACAAAATATTGAGAAAATGAAAATGAAGGAATGGGTGCCAGAGATGAATATGGGAGCTTGATGTTTCGTTCATGGCTACTGGCTATTGTATGCCCCAATCTCTACTAGGCTAACGTGCCTTGCAATGGCTAATCCGTGGTATTTGTTTGCTGGAAATGGAGGGAGGAAAAATCGAAAGATTGAATTTTGCTTCCTTTTGACAAGGCTTACCATAATAAATGAGCAACATTGCGCCAACGGCTCCCCACGGTTGGTTGTTGGTACTGAAATTTTAAGAGGTGAAATTTCTAAAATTTAAAGAGAGGTGAAAATATATTATTAAAAAATATACAAAATATAAAATATATTATTATTTGAAATTTTTAGAATACAAACTAAGTGACTTCTGTGGTAAAAGAATTGTTCTTATTTTTTAATGTGTGCAAGTTGTCAAAACCTCACCTGCACAGTTACAAATAATGATCCTTGGAGTGGCTTTATGCAGGGATGGATCGATGGGGTGTTAGGGTGAGATCACATTCTCTAAAAAATTTAATTTTTTTTATATATTAAGTTTTATTTTATTTTATATGAATTATTTAATTTTATACATTTGAAATTTTATAATCTCGCACTATTAAATTCTTAATATAATTTTTCATATTTGTATTCCCTAACAAAAATTCTTGTATCCGGCCGCATCAACATGAATCTTCACAAAATTATAAGCAGGAGGGACCGTATTAGTGTCCTTCTCATGCAACGCTTTACCACGAGCATTCCAGCTAACTAAAAATTATCCTATTAGTCACTCAGTTATTGGTTCTGTGCTTTTTTAGTCACCGAACTAAAAATATCGTAAATTTAATTACTAACGTTACAAATTAATTAAGTTTAATCAGCGGCTGTTAAGATGATAGTAAAGTTATTGACGTGGCAGTTTATAAATTAACATAATAACATATTTAGTCCTTAATATTTATATATTCTAACAATCTGATCTTGATTTTTAATAATTTAATAAATTTAACTTTTTAATTTTGTAAATTTTAACAATTTGGTCTGAAAAAACTACTTCACATTTATAAATTTTATCAATTTGATCTAAATTTAGTTCCCTTCTCTCAAATTAACCTTAGCCGGTATCAACTAAAATATATAAAAAAATATTTTACCTGAACTCAAAACATCTTTGGTGGTGTATAGGACTTCTTGGGGGTTGTTATTCTGAAATTTAGTGATATAATAAGGGTACAAATGTAAAAAAAACAAGACTTTTGGTGTTATACAATAATTACAATATGTTTCTTTTTTCCATAATGTGAAGTGATTACACGATAGTATCTGTCCAAAATCTTTTTTTTAATTAATCACTAGTATCTGATTTATTGACCGACTAATCTAGATCGGGTATTATAGAGGCGAGGGCGACCCTCCCAACCCAATTTGCTTTATTTGCAAACGCCATGATTCGAACCCCTAACCTTGCTTAAAGGGCCTAGTCCCTCATCCCACTAAACCAACTGATTGTTGGTGTTCAGAATCTTTTTTAACCATTAACAACACATATCTTGCAGACGTAACTGCTCGAACTCAGAGCCTCTAACTCTAGGAAGAATAATATTTCTCTTTACCACTGATGTTACTTGATGGATTACAATAATTACAATATCTAAATATTAGAGATTAAATATATTATTATAACGAGGGTTAGAATCTTAAAAACAACAACCAAAACGTTGGGTGAGAACGTTGAATAATCAAATGAATACATGTATCACATGCAAATAGACCAAAATTCTACTAAAAATACTACATAGCTTGCTTTAGTTAACTAATCACGACAGTGTGATGGACCGAGTCTTTGAGTCAATTCATATATTCTACTATTTATTTTTTCTGCTGACATAAGGAATTCCTAAGAAAACATACGTGAACATGGACTTACCCATGTATATTATTGTTTCATCATACATTAAATATTCCACCGACCTTCTCTGTAATCAACTGGGATCTTCCCTACCATTTCTCCGAAACCATCATGGCGACGTACACATCTCATAACATGCAATTTTAGGTGAAAATATCTACTATTCTTAATTATCATGCCAGGCAATTATATTACACAGATAATAATATTAAAAAATTAATTACTTTATAATTTTCAAAATGATTTATCATAACGTAAATAAAAATTAATCTAAATCTAAATTTAAAAATGAATAATAATTTAAGTAAGAAAAATAATATTTATTCAAAACAAATAATATATATTCATTATTTTTATTTAATAATAGTATCTATTGACAACTTGTGGTTATGCGATTGTGTTTAAGAAAAAGACGTATTTGTGGGTGCATCCAAACGTACAAGGTTGAATAAAGTAGTAGCTATATAAATCTAATATGATGTTATATTGCTTATGCATGCACGACGTTGTATAAATCTAATATGAGATTCAGCTGTTTTTCTCTTTATTTATTTTCAATAATAGAGTCATTTATATCTTTCTTAAAAAACACACACACAAGCGATCGGGTATTGGTTATTCACCTTAATTTATTGTAATTTGTTAGTTTAAAATTTTAACTAATAGTTTTATGTAAATAAAAGATAAAAAATTCGTTACTTTGCATTATAATACAAAAAATACACCACCCCAAAGATCTCATTAAAAAACCTCTCTAATCTTAAGTAGAGGAAAAAGAGTAAATCTTGGGATGGAAGAAGGTCCAACATGAACCCAGGAACAACAAGAACAACAACAACAACCAGGAACAACACCACTAGAACAGTCCGAAACAGACTACAACATTGTAGCTACACACTACCCCGAATGAAAATCAAAAAGGAACAACACACATCCAAAACAAAAAGCAAACCCAAGCTACAAACAAAACCACACGAAACGTTGCCCTCGCTTCATTATTCTATCTCCGACCAATCAGTAACGAACTCCAATCACAATAAACCAGGTAGGACTGCTGGGAATGCGCTAATTCCACCATGCATGTTTTTACTGCAAAAGTCCTCCACCCACTGCTAAATAAACATCAGAGGCCCACCACGTGCGTCACCAACCTGAAAATAATGTCCAACAAAATCAAATGATAAAAAGAAGTGGTGTACGTATTCTAATGCAAAGTAACAATTTTGTTTAAAAAAAAATCAAATGATAAAAAGTTTGATAAAATTTGAAGCTTAAATTATATAAATAGAAAAGTGATGAGATAGTATTACTCACAATTAAATTTTTTATTAAAGTTAATTTAAAATATAATCGAGATTTATTGAAGTATGAGAAAGAAGGAAGACTTAGATTTTTGGTTGTTTGTTTATTTCATTAGATTTTCATTATCCGTTAAAGATAAGAAGAAAAACTCTTTACGACCCCACACATGACATCAAACAGTAAGATAAACACCCAAGAAACCTGGTTATGTTACTGTTTTTAATCAATCAGAGGTTGAACCCTTCAAGCTCGTAGAAACCGAAAGGGTATAAGACTTCATCGTCGAGTAATGGAAACTCAGCCCACATATCACTCCACGTGTCATAGCTATCGTAGAAGAACGGCTCCGTCCAGAAACTTCCACTATCCGCCTCGTATGCTTCAAACAAATTGTTATCTGAAACTGGGTCTAATCTTCTGGATTCAACTGTGTTGTTATCTGTAGTGATGGAGGAGTTTTGATTGCTCGAGGCTGGTTGTGGGGATGACAGTGAGCTTTCAAGAATCAAAGGAGGATTTGGGGAACTGATTACAAGACGATTGGCGTTGTTGTTTAGCTTTGTTCCTTGTTTCTCCGGATCTTCATTCTTATCTTTCCCATCTTTTGGTGTTGAAGACTTTTGTTTAAACCGCTTCTTCAGAGTTGTGTGCCAATGGTTCTTTACTTCATTGTCTGTTCTTCCAGGTAACTCTGCTGCAATGGCAGACCATCTGCGTAGTAAAACCGCTAATTATGAAAATGGTTTTTAACAAATATGAATTTATGGCTCAAATGCAAGTGCTGCAAGTACCTGTTTCCCAGTGACTCATGTAATCTGATGATAGTCTCTTCTTCTTTCCTGCTGAAATTTCCTCTCTTGATATTAGGCCTTAGATAATTCAACCATCTCAGCCTGCAACTCTTTCCGCACCTTGCCAGACCTGAAACCCACAAAATCAAACATCGAATTATGCGTGTTGGTAAAGAGTACCGCTGCAAAATAATACGGTTAGCATTGACTAGCGAGGTATACTGGCTAGCTTACCGGCATACTTGGGAAGCTGACGCCAATTCCAGCAGCCATATCGGGTAACATAAGCCGTTAGTTTTCGATCTTCCTCAGGTGTCCAGGTTCCTTTCCTCAGTCCAGTTTTATCACAGCAAGGTGTTCTCACCATCTTTTCCCTCTCTTCTGTTTTTTTTAACGATCTCCCTTGACACCAGTCACGAGTCTTCAAAGTGGCAGCTATTTATAATCTACCATCTTTAGACCAAAACGTGTTACACGTTTTCTTGCCTCATTTAATATTATGAACATTGTTTTTATTCATTTTCATTTCCATTTTATAGATAAAAATTCGTTAGTCTTCTTATGAGATGATCAAAATCCAGGAAGCCGCTTTCTAGAGTCCACTCCATGAATCAAATGTATATGGAAGAGGGTAAACCCTTAATTTACGTAGCTGGACGAAACATTATTATGATGGAACATGATTATGATGAAACGTGATATCTGCAAAGTCTGGTGAATTTTTAGTTTCCATGAAGTGAAAATATGAAGTTCATAAATATTTAAACAACTGTAGGAATTACCGTAAATTTGTGCTATTCTATTCATAGTCTATAGACAAAATACAGACAAAAAAATGAAATCTGAAATATCTGTGGTAAAGTAAACAAAAAAAAATTATAGATCGTGTGGTGTAGATTTGTAGATGCTGCCTTGAAAAGTAGGACATTAAATGGATATGCATGAGTACCATGGCATTCAGTTATCACACTCAAATACTTAATTATACATCGTTCATACGTACGACGGGGATTTGAATGGCCTGTGTCAAGTGTATACACAGGCAATCAGATAGTGAAAGAATATATATGGTTTTTATTAGATTAAGAGTTAATTGTCTCTAAACTATAACTCTCATTTTAAATTAATATTTAAACTTTTGAATATTTTAATTTAATCCCTAAACTATGATTCTCTTTCTAAATTAGTCCCCAAACATTTGAATATTCCAATTTCATCTCCAAATTCATCCAAATATGTAATTAGTTTCAACCATAATTTAAACTAAAATTTGTTTTTAAAACGTATAATAATATAACTTGGTCTAACGATTTTATTAACAAGAGACGTGATCAGTATATATGTATACTTTTAGATGAAATTGGAATATTCAAAAAGTTTATGGACTAATTTAGAATGAAGGTCATAGTTAATAGAAGAAATTGAAATGTTCAAAATTTTAAGGACTGATTTAGATTGATAGGTAAAGATTAGGGATGAAATTGAAATATTTAAACATTTAAGAGTGGAACTAAAAATATAAAATTATTTATTAAACTGTAAACAATATTCATTAAAAAGATATTTCATTTGTCACATTTTTATTAAACATTTTATAAAATTATTATTTTTTATTTTTGAATTAAATAAATAATAGATTAATTCAAACAAGATTAATTTTGGATATAGAATATTATAGGGTTGAGTTTTTCAAAATGAAAAGCAAAAGTGAGATTTAAATGGATTGAGGTTAGGATGAAAAACATCTCTGATCTTACCTAAAATAACAATACAATGTATAGAAATATAATTTTTATAATATCCATCAAATAAAAAAATAATTTTTATTTATTTGTTTCAGACACAACTTTAACTCAAAATTCATATCCAATTAAAGATGGATACATGATAGAACAATAATTTTTATCTGTACCCTTAATTAGTGACAGATTTAGAAATATTTTTTAAGGTGAACACATATATATTAATAACATAAATTTTTTTGTATGAGGTAAATATAAATAAAATTTAAGGGTGGAACTTTTAATAAAATTGACCACTAATATAAAAAAAATATAAATTTTAAGATAAACGCGTATCTACCCTAAACGATACGTGACGCTGCCCTTAATCCATCCATATATCTAATGGGAATAAGACGAGAAAAGATAGAAAAGAAAGGAAAAGATAGAATATAAAAGAAAAGGGAAAAAGGAAAGATAGAGAAAGTGGACTTGCGACTGAAATTTCAACCTATCCAAAGTTTTAGGACTTTGAATAGCTTTGGAAAGTATTTCTTGGATAATTAATTCCTCATGACATAAAAAATCGTTTCCGCTTAAATATCACAAAAAATATTAACATAAAAATATTGTCATTTTTTTTAATTGAGGTGGAATAAGATTTAAACTTTAGACAAGAAAAATATTAATATTGTCAATAAATTAAAAACACCCCACAAATTCAAAGTGACATAAACTACACGTTTAGTACTTCAAATATTACTTCAGTATCGTTTTGATCACTCAATTATTTTTTTTAATTTTAAAATCATACCTAACGTTATATTTTGATTTTATTTTGATCATCTATCATAAAAAATTAATGGTGATATTGATGTGTCATCATACGATAACATCACGGCATTGTTGAAAACAAAATTTTTAGAAATGTCATGTCAGTAATTCTATTAATTTTTTAATAATATATAATCAAAATAAAACTAAAACATAACGTGATTTATAACTTTAAAAAAATAATAGTTAAATGATTAAAATAAAATAATAATTATTATTATGATACTTAACGTCTACTTTACCCTTATATTGTTTCTAGACTAATCCAGATTGTGTGGTCACAACTTTTTAAGATTATTTTTATTAGTATTTTGTCATTTTAAGGTGTGATTTCTTTAAAACGTGTTTTACCGTATTTGACGAGATTAAATTAATAAAGGGGTAAATTACTAGATTTTCTCACTCAATTTTCTCATCACTCTTATTTTGATCACTCACATTTAAATTTTTTTAATTTAATAACTAAAATTTTAAATTACTCATATTTTGATCACTCTATCGTTAAAGTCGCTAACGGTATTTTGACAAGGCATTTGTTAAGTTAAAACATAAATAAATCTCTTTCTCCAAATTCTCTCTCATTTTCATTTTAAAAAGTAGAACATTTTCATCACTATTTGAAAGGAAAAAAAAGAGAGAGAATATTTTCTTCTCAAATCGCCATAGCTACTGATGCTGTTTCTTTTCAAATCACCATAGTTGATTTCTACGATGTTGTTTCCAGTAGAACAAAGCACATCGTAAACCACCATTTTCAAACTTTTTTTTCCCAATGAATTGTTCACCATGGATTCAATCGAGGTTTTTAGGAGAAAAATTGTTTTCATGGATTCAAATCATCATGTATATTCCTACTATTTCACGTTTTTTTTAAAGTAGGACTGAATCTATGATATATTCATTTGTCAAAAGTATGTCAATAACGTCTTGTTAAATACATACTGAACAAATACAATAATGACTAGCATAAATAAAATATAACAATGATCGACTAGTAATAACATGATAAGCAAAAGTGTAACCAGTTGAGGCAACGACGTACATAAATGGATCACTCAAAGATCTTATAATTTAACATAAATATCATTCATGAGTTAGTAAAAGGATAGTTTAAACTTATATAGTGCAGATTAAAATAATATGTAATTAGTTCTGACTTTTCATCTATTAATTACATAATTATTACTCCACTGAAGTACTATGATTGAACTCGATTTGATCATTTTAAGTAAACTATATCAGATACTACTAAACTTTAGATGGTGTATCATTTATACCATTGATTTTTTTAATTATTTTAATTATAACATTAAATTTTAGTTATGACTTCAATCATACCACTTTATTGTTAAGTTTTATCGGCACAATTTTTTCGTCATTGTGATAATGTGAACAAAATAATATCGGTTTGGAGTGACTAATAATATCTAAAATGATGCTGTTTTAAATACTAAACTTTAACTGTGCATTAATTTTATCACTACATTTTTAAATAATTCACTTTTTAACATTAAATTTTTAACACGTCTTGTATTTTCAAATAGTTGAACAAAGAGCCTTATTGTATTTCACACGAATTATTTTAGAAATAAACATTGTAATGTGCATTTCTGGGTGTTGTTAACTGTGTGATCAATCACAGATTAAGTAGTGAAGATTATTTAAAGGAAAGAATAGTGAGATGATATTGTACATGGAAACTCTTGTAGTTAGTGTGAAGTTAGATTCAAGTTAACGTGTCTTCTGTATTGAGAATATTTTAATAGTTTCCTCTCTGAATAAAATCATGTATACGTGAGATTTGGTTGAGTTGAACAAATCTTTGTATTATTTGTTTATATTTCGTGTTTTATGGATTTTCACTCCGTTATTACCTACTTAAAGTATTATCCATATACAACTGTATTAACATGGTGTAGACACTAATTTTCGTCGATATATATTTTTTTTCTTTTATATGTACCTACATATTTATATATATACATATTTTGAAACTACGTATATAATATATAGTTTTTAATAGTTTTTAAAACTATATAATATATAGTTTTAAAAAAAACATTTTAGAAAATATATATAATATATAATTTTTAAAATCATTTTTGAAAACTTATATATATATAGTTCTTGAAAACATTTTTGAAAACATATATATTATAGTTTTGAAAACATTTTGAAAACATTTATATATTATATAATTTTTAAAACGTTTTTGAAAACTTATATAATATTTTTTTTTTGAAAACATGTTGAAAACATTCGTATATTATATAGTTTAAAAAAAATATTTTGAAAATTTATATATTATATGTTTTTGAAAATATTTATGTATATATATATAATTTATTATTATTATTTATTTTATTTTTATTTTATTGTTTTGGTCTTTTCCAGGTCCAAGTCCAGTGTCCATTTTTTTTAGTCCAACACAGTCACGGCTCCAGCCCGTAGGACAGACCTGATCCAGCCTGTTGGAGTTTAGGGTTTGGGAACCCTAAAACATGTTATGTCACAGTGCCACACAACAGGGACCGTTGGATCAACAAAGAGATCAACAGCCAACATAGCAAGGGAATCAGGGTTTGTTTAACCCACAAAGAGCTATCAGTCGCGGCCAATCTTGGACCGTTGGATCTGAACCAATCCAACGGTCAAGATCAAATCAAGGTTACCAGAAGCCTGAACGCCACCACACACCGGTCACCGAGATTTCCGGCCGAGGGGATCGGGACTGACCCATCCCGAAATCCCCGGCCAACCAACCACGATCTCGAGATCGTCGGAACCCCCAACGGCCAGTGGGGGTTATAAAAACCCACGGCCAAC